TTGGGCTCGCGTGAAGGAAGACGGAGGTGACCATCACAGCTGCAAATACCAGGCACAGCTTCATAAGATCCGTCGAAACCGATGTCAGAATCGTACTAGATCCGTGGGCCAGAACTTAACTCACTCCCGAGAGCAGCAATAGAAGCTGACCAAGAGGGGACTCGTTGAAGTAAGGATAGGCGATGGATAGTGCCGAGTCGGCTGCAGACAAGGGAAGAGTCAGTAGGAGTGATCTTCGACACCTCTCCTCAGAACCGTTCCTTACATACCAAACTCGAGTATGCAGCTGCCAATCAGAGCGCGAGCACCGGCCGCTTTCTGAGCTCTGTGCGCTTCAAAGGCCTGACCCGAACGAGCGGTGGCAAAAAATGCGAGAGAATTGCCCAAGATTGTCGTGATCGCTGCTAGGCAAGCTTCAGCACGAAGTGCGCCGGTGGCGTCCGATAGCGACTTGAGAGCCACAAAGATCATCGCAAAGAAATTGGTGATGCCGACGGTGATGGTCAGTAGTGTTGTACACGCCACAGCTGCGACGACTGGGCCTCGCCATGCTCGCGATGGTAGGAGCGGTGTCGAGGTGGACGGATCCGTCGCAGGAGGTTGTAGACGGTGAAGTGAGGCTCGCAGGCGGCTTTTCGGACCTCGGCGTACCTCGCTTTGCTTCTCTTCCATCTCCGCGATGGATGGTGCCAGCACGGTGCCAGCCAGGCATGCCAAGAACGCAAAGTGACCTGTCAAAGTGATACTGGTCAACAGTCCTGAGATGACGTTGGCGATGGGGCTTTCAGAGGCTATATGCACAGCTGCAGCCGGCACAAGCAGGCAATCGGACCACAAAAGCCAGCACGTCGGGCTGCAAATGAAGACAGATCGCATCTGAGCTCGTCTGTCCGTAGAGCACGGTCGTCTCAAGATTGCTCACCCTGGCAAAGGGCGATTTGTCAACTTCAAGAACAAGTAGACCCCAGCTGCAATCTGCGTGAACCGCAGCACAGGGAGCGAGTGAGCGATGCAAAGTATCGTAAGACTGCCGGCCCATCTTTGAATACTTACAAGACCTAAAATGATGGGCGGTATATTGGCGCTGACGCGCCAAGACGCGGTGTGAATGTCGCTGCCAAGCATGGCGGCCTTCGGTATTTTGTCGAGCAGCATCGCGCGAACATTTTCGGGTACCGCCGGGGGTGTTTGGGGTGGCTCAGATTTCGTTGAAGGAGGAGGTGGAGGAGGCAGGGGCGTTGATGCTGGATGCAAAGGCTCCGCAGTGGTGACGTTGGCCGGTGGCACCGGAGCAGGAGAGGGAACATCCACAGGGGGCTGGCTCATTGACGGACTCTCCTCGGTGGCCGTGTCGGGTACGGGAGGAGTGTGATTTGACGATCCTGAGAAGGGAACTTGCTGCTCATCGCTAGACTGCCCATCGTCACTTATCGATGAAGCAGGCGTACTGCTGTATGGCTCGCCTTCGGATGCGCTGGCGCTGCTTGGTGTGGTCGATGATGAGTCTGATCCTTCTTCTTGTCCTCTGGTTGGGCTGTTCGCACCGCTAGCACTGGAAGGCTGAGCGGCAGAAGTGTTGTCGTAAGAGTCTCCCAGACGTTCAGAACTAGACTCGCTTGATGGTTGAGATGCCTGTGAGTTGCTTCCAGAGCTACTGTCGTCATTGCTGGGGCCCGAAAAGTCTATGGTGTAAGTCTGACGCGGAGAAAGGTGGGCAAGAGACGGCTCTAACAGGGCTCGTCCGACGACACGGCGCATTCGCAAGCTGGAAGCAGTCGGCAACGGTGTGTGCGCCTCGGCTGCGAGGGCCAACCCCACAAGTATCGTCGTTACGAACCATGTCCTGTGTATTGCTAGACTTCGCATGACGAAGAATGCCGACCGGACCGCAGCGTACGGTTGTGATCAGCGTCAACCAGCGTAGTGATGGTGTGAAGGCTAGCAGCAGGTGGTCGAACTGCTCCGAAGACGTGATCTATGTGGAATGAAAGCTTGAGAGCGAATGTGAGTGGTGTGCGGCTGCGATCATGCATGTAAAGACAGTCGGGAGCTGGTGATGGCCTGTGAATAGGGAGTGGCTAAAGGTCGAGTACGAGCGATTCAGGCGGATCCACCTCGTACGCCCAGAATTCACAAAGGGAAACAAGCTTGAGAATTTGCCTGAAATAGGCCATCTCAAAGCTCAAGAGGCGTGAAGTCTTAATCACAATTGAGCTTCGTGGCGCTCTGCAGTCGTGAGTCACTGAGTCTGTGATCGCCGTGCCTGACTTTGCCTGCGCTTGGCCGGCCCGCCGTGCGAGCCAAGCGCAGTACATCGGTACCTTGCCGTCGATGGCATACCACTGCTGTGCACTCGGGTGCAGCTGAGACGCAGGGCATTGCGCTTGAGATGGAGACCTGCGCGCCAATCTCAGATTGTCTTTGGCGCATACTCGGGGTAGATTCGAT